TAAAAATTATATAATAAATAATTTAATTACTAAACTTTAAATCTTAATATTTTTATAATTACTAATTTAATTTTTATGAAATTTAGAATATATATTATCAAATCTAGAGCAATCTGCTTGCATAATTTAAAGTTTTAATCTTGCAAATTGATAATAATAATATTTAAAATATCTTTTTTTAAAAAAAATAATTTTATTTTAATTTTTTTAGTAAAATAATATTCTATTTATTATTAAATTAAAGTATAATAGAATAATTAAAATAATATAAAAAATTTAAAGATTAATTAAAATTTGAATGATTTTTATTAGAAATAATTATTAATTTTATATTGATATATTAATCTTTTTGTACTGGATCATATTATTATATATTGAATTTCATCTATATTCTGAATATAAATTAGAATATCAGAAATAAAGTAAAAATAAATTAATTAATATATATTTAAAATCAGTTTATATTCTGAATATAAAAAACTAAAAGTTCATCTATTTTTTGGATAGAAATTTAGCAAATTTCAGGTTTTCTTCTAATAAATTATAAAATTTCTGAATTTATTTAATAAGTAAAAAAATGAAATTTTGCTAGAAAAATTCTTAATATTTTTCTGAAAAAATATCTTATCTTAATATAAATAATAGTTCAGATTATTAAAATATAAAATTATTATTTATCTTTTTAAATTTAAATTAATTTTTTTAAGAATAAATTAAGAATAATTATATTATTAATTACAAATGTAACTGATTCTTACAGACTTTTATTAATTAAAAAAGTTATAGTATTTAATAATTTATAATTTTCAATTATTATTAAAAAATTGATTGTATTATTTTAATATTAGCTTTACATTCAAAATAAAAATTCTTCCTACTTATAAATAATATATTATTATACAATATATTCATAATATTTAAGAATACAGAAAATGATAACTAAAAATTGAATCAATTAGATTCTGAAATAATATGAGTAAAAATTAGTTACAAGGAAAATCAAGAGGAAATAAGATTAAGCAAGAGTTAAAGAATGATTAATTGAATTCCAAAAATTATAAGAAATTCATATTAAAAATTATTATAGTTTATAAACTATTGAAAACAGCTAACATAAACAATAAAGAAATCATTACTATAGAAAACTGAGAATGAGACAGAAAATAGGCAATCCCCGAAAACAAGTAACATTTAAGGTTAAATAAAGGCAAAACTATAACTAAATTTTTTCTTTACGATTTGATTGGTTTACCCCTTAAAAATCACGTGTTGAATGAGTGTTTTGTTGATGACATCGGTTGATTATCATCAACTTTAAGTATTTATGATTACTTTCAGAAAGAATCCAACAATCACGACCTATATTTTAAAAATTTGCTCACCCCTCATTCTTAACAATAATAAAGAAACGATAGTAAAAATGTCAACTACGACCAATAACCACGATGAGACCAACAAATCTTTCCTTTCACAAGTAGAAATATATGGTCACAAAGAGCTCGTTGACAAATTCAGTAAAATAACAAGAGAGGATATCGATAGGCTCTCGAGCTCTAAGAACCCACACAATAGATACAGTATATCCGTGGCAAAGACTCATGAAGCTCAAAAGCTGAATCGTTACACGGACGTCATTCCGTTTGACTATAATCGGGTAAAATTATCCACTAAAAGACCGTCGAAAACTGACTACATTAATGCTAGTTTCATCGAGGCGCCAAATAAAGTGCGTCGATATATCGCAGCACAAGGTCCTTTGCAAGAGACGATCGATGATTTTTGGTTGATGGTTTGGGAACAAAACTCTCGTGTTATTGTGATGTTGACTAAGGAGATTGAGAAAGGAAGTCCTAAATGTATACGGTATTGGCCATCACAAAAGGATCAGCCGATAGAATCCTCGGTTACCGGATTAAAAGTTTCATTGGAATCGGAGACATTAGACCCAGACACATCTTGTATTGTACGCACAATCATCTTGACAAAAATCCCAACACAATTAAATGACAGTACTGATACTGTTGATGATACTACTACTACTACTACTACTGCACCTCAATCTAGGGATATTACCCATTTACAATTTATAGGTTGGCCGGATCATGGAGTTCCAGATTCACCGGATATCGTATTGCAATTAATTCGAAAAACTAATGAATTACAACAAGAGTATCAAAACCGTCAAAATATTGGTCGTAACGACAGAGAGAAAGAGGAAGTTGGTCCTGTTGTGGTGCATTGTAGTGCTGGATGTGGGCGTACGGGGACATTTTGCACTATTGATTCAGCCTTGGCTTTATTGCAGGATATGCATGATAAATCTTCAGATTTGATTTACAGTTTGGTGCAATATTTTCGTGAGCAAAGAACACATATGGTACAAACTCTTAGTCAATATCAGTATTGCTATTTGGTTGTATTACGTAAATTGGCGTTGGATTCGGGGTCTGTTGTTTCTTCAAGATAAACATTATTGCTATTGTCATTAAGAATCTTGCAGTAATTGACTATGAACTTTAATAAAATTTGCTAAAAGTCACTTATACAACGATTTTTGTATTCAATTGTTAATGAAATTGTGATTTTGTTGTTTAACGTTTTTTATATATATATATTTATTTGTTTATTTATGCAAGGGCATTAAAGATCATACTTTTATCTTATCAAAAATGCTGTTATATTAAGATCTGCATATATCCTTATACATCTTCATCTCCAACAGGGACGCGTTTATATCCTCGTTCGACTCGTTTTTTGCCCCATCGATCAATAGCACCTAATATACCTTCACCTTTAGGTTTTATTCTTTCAGCACCCCCCTTACCATCATCAACCCATTGAGGTTTTCGCCACCATTTCAACATTAGGCTCGATAACACGACACTAACACTAGAACAAGCCATCGCCGCACCAGCCATCATCGGATGTAAGTGCAAGCCCCATGGAATGAAGAATCCCATCGCTAATGGAATTCCCAATACATTATAAATACATGCCCACAAGAAATTCAATTGTATCCTTCGAAATATTGTTCGTGAAAGATCCAATGCTGCGACCACGTCCATCAAATCATTAGACATTAATACTAAATCTGCTGCTTCTATCGCAATATCCGTCCCACTACACATTGCAATTCCTATATTTGCTGCAGCCAAAGCGGGTGAATCATTTATCCCATCGCCCACCATTGCAACAATGTTTCTTTTTGTGATGGCAGAGGGATATTGAAGTGTTTGAATAATCTGTTTTTTACCACTTGGGGAGACACCGGCGTAAATTTCCGTTATTCCACATTGTGCAGCGATTGTTTTTGCAGTTAATTCTTGATCTCCTGTGACCATTGCTACCGAAATACCCATTTTATTTAATGCGGCAACGGTTAATTTCGCTTCGGGTTTTACGATGTCCGATAAAAAGATGCCAGCGACAAGTGTGTTATTAATTGCTATTAAAATGGTGGTTCGCCCAAGTCGTTCTTGCCTTTCTTTGATTTCATATGCCGAATTCGGAATAGATATTTGATTATGATCAGAAAGGAAACTAGCATTACCAATAAGTACATTATACGACGTTGCAGTATTTGATGTAAATCTCGTCGACTGATTTATCAAATTTGATGCACGTGATGCATTATATAGTACGTTACATTTTATACCTAATCCCGCAACTGCTTCAAATTCTGAGACTTCAGCGTCAAATTGTTTAATATCTAATAAATTTTGTGCATGTTGTACAATAGCTCGACCGAGTGGATGCTCACTCGAAGATTCCGCAGCTCCAACAATGGCAAAAAGCTTTTCCTCGGTTAATTCCAAATTTCCGGTAAACATTTTATAATATGCCACTTCCAATTGTCCTTTAGTGAGTGTTCCGGTTTTATCAAATATTACTTTGGTGACTTTATTGCTTTCCTCTAATGGACCTCCACCTTTGATTAGAATACCGTTTTGGGCGCCAATTCCTGTTCCAACCATCACGGCTGTCGGTGTACTTAATCCTAACGCACAAGGACATGCGACCACAATTACAGAGATACATAGTTTTAAGGAGACCATAAAGTAACTGCTCTCTTGATAGAATATTTCAGGAACTGGATTAAGAATATGCGAAAGTAAGATCCATCCGAAAAATGTGGTAACCGCTAAAGCGATCACCACCGGTACAAAATATCCAGCTACAGTATCAGCAAATGCTTGTATTGGTGCTTTCGAAGTTTGAGCTTCCTCGACCAATTTCACAATTTGAGCTAATGCAGTATCATTACCAGCGCGGGTAACTTGCATTTGAAATGTTCCTAATCCATTAACAGTTCCTCCAATTACAGCATCTCCCGGTTTTTTATTAACTTGTTTAACCTCACCAGTCACCATCGACTCATCGACCGTTGATTGTCCAGATATTAGAACTCCATCGGCAGGAATTTTATCTCCAGGAACAATTTTTACGATATCATCAACTTGTACCAATTCAGTTGGAATTTTCTTTTCTCCGAGAATTTCTCCGGATTTCGAGTCTTTAAGATAAATTATAGTCGTGGAAGGTGTGAGTGACATTAATTTCGATAGTGCGACTGAAGTTTTGCCCTTCGCCATATTTTCCAGATATCGACCAAGTGTGACGAATGTGATTATCATTGTGGAGGTGTCAAAAAATGTTGAGGGTTTTGTGTGTGTTGGAAAATCACAGAGCGCATAAAACATTGAGAAACAAGAAAAGAAAAAGGCGGATGTTGTCCCCAATGCTATTAATACATCCATTGTTGCTGTTCCATGTTTTAATGCCTTATATGAAGTGAGATAGAATCTTTTTCCCACACCAAATTGCACAGGAATCGTTAATATCAATGAAAGGAAATCCCCGCTATAAATTCCTGGTAATAATCGAACATCGACCATTTTTGAGCCCCATTCAAATGCTGGCAGAATCATACAGATGATAAACACGGGCATTGCAAATGTAAGTGATCGAAAGAAAGCATCATGCCATTCTGCAATTTCTTTTGTTCGTGCCAATGATTCTAACTGCGCATTGCGACTACTGTCAATCAATAAAGCGTCGTATCCTAAATCTTCAATTAGATTCACCACATCGCGAACACCCAAAAATTCTTTATCATACTGAATGTTAGCTTTTTCTGCAGCGAAGTTCACCGAAGCATTTAGAATTCCAGGAGATTTACGTAGATTCTGTTCAATTTTATCTGCGCTAGTACTATCGGTCATTCCAAAGATCTGTAATTCCAGGGTATCCTCGCGTCTTTGACGGATTGGTGATGCTTCAAACCCTATTGAATTTACCAATCGCGCAATTCCATCTTCATCGATGACATTCGCATCGTATTCTACAGTTGCACGTTCAGCTAACAGACTAACTTTGACTGAAACTATTCCAGGTGTGGATCGAAGTGAACGTTCGATGCTATTGACACATGACGCACAAGTCATGCCTAAAATTTTTAATTGGCCAATCAGAATGCTTTCCTCAGAAAACGTGTGTGATTTTATCATTGATAACGGAAATGAATTTTTATTTGCAGGCGGTGTTTTAATTCCTATATTTGTAAAAACATCTGAACTTGATATGAGAGGAGATTTGTTTTGATTATTTTTCTTGGTGATATTTACGTCATCAATTGGGACTTTGAATCCACAATCTTCAATTGTATCGATAATTTCTTTTTTTGAAATTAAAAGCTCTTTAAATTCAATAGAAGCACACTCATCCTCGAGACTAATCTGGACATTATGAATCCCAGGCATAGGTTGCAATACATTCATAATGGAGTTCACACAAGAATTGCATGTCATTCCTTTTATGGGTAAATTAATCTCAATCAATGAACTTCCAATCTCGTCGATTTGTGGCACTTGGAATCCACAATCTTCTATCGCATTAATGATCTCTTGTTGGCTAATTTTTTCCGGATCAAATCTCACCGTTGCATTTTTGTCTTTTAAGCTGACGTCAACATTTCTGACACCTGAAGCCATCTTCAAGACATTAGTGATGGAATTCACGCACGACATACACGTCATCCCTTTGACGGGCAAAGTGATAAGAATTGAACGGTCGTTAGAATCGGCGTTGGGATTCTTATCATTATTCAAAGCCAATTCGAAAGACAGTCTCTCTTCAGTCAACGGAACTTGAAATCCACAATCCTCAATTGTTTGGATAATTTGGGCTTTGCTAATTTTGCTCGCGTCAAAGCTAATTTTTGCTTGTTCTTTTTCTAGGCTTACTTCACAGTCTGTTACTTCCGGTAATGATTCGACAACATTTGTGATGGACCGCACACAAGAATGACAAGTCATGCCTTTTACCGGGAGCACAAAGGTTGTCGGTGTCGTTATCGTCATCGTCGTCGCTGTTTCTTTTTCATCTATTCTGATATTCTCCAAATCTTCTATTATGTTCGTGACTTTTTTATTGACGTCTTCCATTTTTTTTTTGTTTGTTAATCAATGTATTATAAGACAATTGAATAACGGAAAATTTTGACACTTAATAAATCAATATATACAACTAAAAGAGGGGGTTGGTGCTATTGTTTAGGTTGCGCTAAAGGTGGTGGTGGTGGTAGTTGTTAGAAAGACGGTAAAGCTGTGAAACTTTCTTTCATGACCAGCAGGAAAAGAATAGTATTTATTTATTATTAACGTTAAATGAAAGCATAGCAATTTAAAATGATTAGCCAACAAAAAAAATGCGATAAACTATTTGATACCTTCAAACGGATATTGCAATTAACGGGCTAAACGATTACCGATTGCCCCAAAATAGCTCATTATTAACGAAATTACCAAATCGGGGTGAATGGCGTAGTAAGAACCGTAGAATCAAAAATTCTAAGTTTTACACGCGGAATTCGCATACATGCGTATAAAAAGATTTTAGTTGCGGAAAATTTAAGCTCCGCAAGTCAATTTTAGACACTGGTAAGCACCTATTAGGTAGACACACTGGTCTTCAAGAAATGATTCTAATAGTTCTTACAGTCAAACCTTGTTAATGACAACCTCGTTTATATGACCAAATCAAACAATACAGTCCTATGTATAAAATTGCTCGTTATTATGTCATATTGACTGTTTATAATTGGACATTCTTTGTAAATACTAAATATCATATCATTATACATGCGTATATAAAATTTTCTTTTACATCTGATTACTATCATGATGCAAACATCTATGTTTGATAGACTGTTTCAATCAATCATTAATCATGGGGTCTCACACAAATGCAATTACTAAATAGATTTTCCGGCTTTACGAGATCCATCTATAACGATAAGCATTATAAGCATGTAAACCTAAATCCTTAGATTGTGCGGTGCTATCACCAATGATTGGAAGTTGCACGAACTATTTTTAAAGAGTTTATTATTTACGATCGAAGTTGCAGAGCAAAGCTGCTCAATGCACAAATTTTTTTGGAATTATGATTTATAATCACTTTAACTTCTTATCGATAAAAGGAATGGAATTCGTTATCATACTTATTATTTTTGAGCCACACACAGAGGTATTTCGCATAGCTGGATCGTACTTTTAACAAAAATCACTGTTCTTATGTACTCGAAATATATTATTAGTTAAGCATCACTGTCGAGTCAAGGAATAGGAAGCTTCAATACATTATCTATACAACCAAAATAGAAAAAGGTCATCAATACTAAGATTTTTGTTAAATTGCATCTTTGACTTTGAATAATCAGAAAATCAACTGACCACGATTATGTACACCATACAAAAATTGCGCGATAACATCATTCTCTACGGGTTTTAGAGCTTGGTAATGTTTTGTGATCTCGCGTACTAATGTTTCTTTAGTGGCTGGCTCAGCAATTTTTAATTTATATATTCGTCGGTATCGTCGTAACACTGAAATATCAAGCGTATTGAAATCAAACTATTGGAAATAACGAACAATCAATAATTAACATGATTAATTTTTACAAGAAATAATATCACACCAGATCAAAAATATACCGGTGGTATTTCTTTTACGGGTTCCTTTCCCTTTTGAATCCTTTTAGTTTGGTAATGGGATGATGAAAATGTCACAGAAGAACCAGAGGTACTCGTTGGGACTGTAGCGACAGCTGACGAAGAAGTGCCGGACTCTTTTTCTCTAGTGTATCCTCCTCCGTCGTCAATTGACGGAACACTTTGATTTCGGTGGTGTTGACTTGTTCCACTACCATTATTGCCACCAGCACTACCGTTATTATTACCGTTCCCATTGCTATTATTACTACTGCCGTTACTCACGCCTGCCGTCGTTTGTCTTGAGGAAGTAGGCGAGTTAGATAAGTTTGCACTACTACTGCCACCACCGCCATTACTGATACTGCTATTGCCTCCTCCAGCGCTTCCTCCGCTTCCTAAACGATCACTTCTTTCGTTTCGTTCAGCACTTCCATTATTTGTGTTGTTATTGTTGTTGCCGCCGTTTCCACCGCCACCACCTAAGTTAGAGTTACCAGTGTATGTGGTTGAGTTTGAACTGTTGGAAGAATGTTTTGTACTTTTGGTATTGGCCATGTGTTTAAAATATATCAAAAAAAACGGGTATTTTGAATTTCATTCAACATGTCACGAATAATGGTTTATTATATGGTAACACTATAACTACGTGACTAAGAGCGATCATCGTCGCGTATATAAATAAATATTTTAAAAAGAATCAGTCTATCTATCTATTATTAGAGGTGATGCTACGCGTTTATCTCGTTACAATTTTAACTTGCCAACGTCGGATTCTTCAAGATCCTCAAGTTTACTGATGAAATGGCCATTAATTTTTTCAGCGACCTCTTTTGCCAATTCCTCAACTACCGATTTTCGTTTCTCCCTTGCCAAAAGGCTAACAACCACCCATCGCTTATTACTAGTCCATGTAGGATAACTACCAATTTTTACTCCTAAATGGGCCACTTTTTCCTGCATCTCTGTTAACACAGGCGCGATAAATGATTCTGGTTGATATGTACGAACATATACCCGGATAAACTTTTCTCCTTGTTGGGAGAAATATTTGCCAAATTCACCAAGTAAAGCTCGAAATAAAGATGGAATCCCGGGTAGGATGTGGACATTGTTATTCACGATCACAATTGGAACCCATATCGTTTCATTTGGATAAACGACTAGAGATGGTGATGGGAAAAGTGCCATTCGTTTGCTTGCTGTAATAACTTCAACGCTCGTTTCCTTTTTTAATATTGGATGGTTTTGCAAGACTCCCATCATTCGATCTATTGTCTCTTGATGATAGACTAGTTCGAGACCAAAAGCACGTGCAATTGAGGGATATGTAATGTCATCGTGTGTGGTGCCTAATTATTATTTTGTGGAAAAATTAGATAACTTTATCAAAAGAAAATTTGAAAATACAAATTATTTGTTTCGTACCTACTCCACCACTAGTCACCACAAAATCATATTTTTTACTTAATCGACGCACGGCTTCAATAATCGTCTTAGGAAAAAAAAAATAATTTGATTTTTAAATACATCTATAGAATTAATTTGAAAGATTATACCAACTCATCAACAAACAAGAAAAATTAATTAAATTACATCTTCTTCATCCGGAATAACTTCGATTCTTTTAACATCAATTCCCAAATTGAAGCAGAATTTAGCTGAATCGAAATCAAAAAACAAAATTATTAAATTTTTTTCCCGATTATCAATTAACCAATAAGTACCCTTACCAAAAAACCCTGAATTCGTGTCTACAATCTTCCCGTTTAATATTTCATCGCCAATAATTAAACAAGCCGCGGTTTCAGGAAATGGCTGATCTTCTAATGCTTCCAATGGAGTGATAGGAAACTTCCTTGTTCTACTTTGCGAATTGGGTTTACTTACATTCCCTGATACCTCAATTGTAGAGGTTGTTGATTCTTGCTGCAACTTAGTGTTCGATTTTTGATCTTGCATCTCTCGAGACATTTTTATTGTTTGACAATAGTAAACATTTGAATGGAAGGCTTGAACACAAGATATTTTGTAAAGATTAGGTGTATAACTTAAAGTTCGCTAGAGAGCCAGAAAAATTCAAGCTTAAGCCTAAAACATAGTAGATGAATTCAATCATAAGTGAAGCTTTCGGCAACTTACCAGAATTGGACTGTTAAGGATAACTTTCGGCGAAAATCTCACTAAACCGGTGGCGACTAGAGAACATGAGAACGAAAGCGAGAACATATACACTGATAATTTTGAATAATGGTTTGAAAATTAGGCTTATATGATACTTATTTGCACACACCAAATTTGTCTACGCTACAACTGGGTGCCCAACACATCAACTCGTTAATAAAGAATCCCACACAATATTTATATTCCCAAAAAAGGAATTACGTCATTTCTAGCGTTAATATTTTATTCCAAAAAAGTATTATGAATTTTTTGTACATTGTATATTAAAACAATCTTTTTATAATACAAGTTCTTATTCAAAAATATATAATATATTAAAGTAGAACACATGCAAAAGAGATTAGAAATTACTGATTCGGGAACGTGTTCTTCATATCATTTCATATCATGTGATGATATTCAAATCTTGAAAACACATTTATTATCTTTCACCTTCCATTTAACTGAAGATATTTTGATATAAACAAAAAATTTCAACCACCACCTTTTATCTCCTTAAAATCCTTACAGCTACTTATCGACGTTATTCGGTTAAGCTCTGCAAAATTTAACGTTCGCATTGCAAAAAAAAAAAGAGAAGGAAAAATAGATATATGATTATCACAATAACAAACAAGCGATTGGAATTTAGAAGCTTTCAAAGTACAATACCGTTTTCCTCCGTCAATAAGCACCATGTGAAATTCCCCTTCCCCCCCCCCCTTTTTTTTTTAGTAATTTTCATAATTTATCACACGTATTTTATTATATCAAATATCATATTTATATGTAAACATTTTATTTGTCATGGGATGCTTATTTTCGGAGGAATGCGGTGTTGTAATCATCATAATTTACTTTCTTTTTTTTTAATTGGCTGATACTTTACAGTTTTGGGTCTTCCCTGATGAATGCAATGCCTTTGTTGATGTTTCCACGAAGTTCTGGGATTGCGGCTTTAAGTAATGATTCCTCGTGTGGCGTTAAATCTTCTAATTGATGGATTTTTGTAACGCCATTTATCTGTGGTGATTTAATATCATAAATATACAAGTGTGAATTTGAAACTGCGAGTTCAATTACTTTGAAATTTAAATAAATAAATTACCCCTAATTCAACACTCGATGAGAAATAATCTAAACCATCAATTTTAGGTTTGAGTTGTTTGCCTCCATCTTCATCTGCGTCAAGATGGACGTAAGATTGCTCAATGATTCCAGCCTCGCCTTTAACCGAGGCATTCAAGATTGCATTAGCAAATCGAGCGCCAGCCTGAGCCATAGAAAGGGTTGCAGAACCTGCTCCCTCCTTAGCTTTAACTACTTCATCCCCGCCTTTTTATATTTAAAATAGAGAATAAAATTCTTCTGAAACTTTCGAAATACCATTTTCGCAAAATATGAATTAGAATAAAGATTACCATATTGGATTCTGTTCGTAAGCGCATCAATTTGTGCTTGAGAGAATGAATGTGGCGGGGAGGCTTTGGAGAGTAATGGAATAATAGTAATTCCACTATGTCCACCGACAACTGGAACACGAATATCACGTGAATCATGTCCAGTTACTTCACCGACGAAAGTAGAAGCACGAACAACATCTAATGTCGTTACACCAAATAATTTTTTGGGATTGAATACATTATGTTTCTTGAGAACTTCAGCAACGATTGGCACGGTAGAATTCACAGGATTAGATATGACCAGAATGAATGCGTTAGGAGCGTGTTGGGAGATCCCAATAGCCAGATCACGTACAATTCCTGCATTGGTCTTTCCAACAAAACGCAAAAGTAAAGCAATCATAAATCAAATGTTCGCCAAATAATTTAAAATATATGTATCTACCTTGAATAAGTCATCTCTTGTCATGTTAGGCTTTCTTGGAATGCCAGCTGGAATGATGATGGTATGTGCACCTGTCAAAGCATTTTTTAAGCCGTCATTAGGCGGAAGATAACCAGTCACTTTAGCTGGGGTGTTAATATGACTTAAATCAGCAGCAACACCAGGACTATTCACGATATCATATAAAGCCAAGTCCGTGACTTTCTCATTTAACTTCAATAAAAGTGAAAGTGGTTGACCAATTCCACCAGAGGCACCAAGAATTACAACTTTGACCATTTTTAAGATTGTTAAGAGATAAAAATGCAGTATGATTAAACTTTTTTGTAGCCTCTTTCCTTTATATATTTTAATTAAACGATGATCAATTTTTCAAACTGATCATTTACGATTGGCCGAAATCCCACTAGATGATCTTTTTTATTTTGATCACAGTGGTATTATCTTATCTTGCATTATCTTACTGGTATTATCTTATCTTGCATTATTATCTTACATGAGAAGTCGCGCCATCGAGAAACGTCATGCATAATGCAATGATAATGGATGGCTTGCATGAAAAAATCACGTGAAAACTATTTTGACGAAACGTGTTTTGATCGAACAAAGTTTTCCGTTACTTGAATTTATTCCCGGGTGGGTTACAATATAACGATAACAATAAATAAACGTGAAGACGCAGAATTCAAATTATTTTATTCATTCTAAACGTAGAAAATCATATCATATTCAAATCATGCTATTTTAATTTTAGATTAGAGAAACGAGAACTTGACAAATTTCCCAGACATTTAGTATACAAATAAGCAGCGCGAAAAAAACTATTTTTCACTGGGACTACTACCTGTCATTTGAGGGTCTGTCTTACCCCAATTCTTGCATGAACTAAACGGGTGATATGCAACGCAACTTTAATATAACTGTGCATTAGTTTTCCGTAGTTTCCCGTTGTTATCCGGTGGTTCTCGTTTTTGGGGATCTACCGGATACGCCGTGAGACTGTACGATCACAGGATTCTTACAGGATTCTTCGAGAATCCTTCTACTAACGTGTCGGAAAATTTTTGGTATATCAGCTAAATTGGTATCAAAATTCGTTTAATTATTGTGGCAGATTAAAATGAAATCGGATTAAAATGAAATTGGGGTCTTTTTGAATCCTCTTTTAATGCCTCTGAAATCCATATATACTCTTCTATTAACAAAAGTTACCCTAAATCCTAATCCAAATTCCAAAAAAATTGCCCCCAAAAAAATACGAAATTTTCATATTAAAATAGAGAAAATTTCATTTTAATCTGTCACAATTATTAGTTCTCGCAGGTACCAGATTAATGCTACGCAGGGGACCCCGTTAAACCGAAGTGGTCGGGGCTATTAGTGAGAAATTTTGAGAAATTCGGTTTACAGAGATTTACTTAATAAATTCGGTTTAACGGGGTCCTTTATAATATAACGGTTTTTGAGCGAACTTCGGTTTAACGGGATTTTAATTAGTGCTTCGGTTCAACGGGGTTTACTGTGTAATAAAGAAATGATTCTATTATTTTTACTAACATTAATCTTGCTCATAAGCTTTTTTCACGAACCCACCTTACAAGACAAAAAATCGCTTATTTTTATATTTCACATTGTATTACATAAACAATAATTCTTTGGAAAACTGGCCAGAAGGAAAAATGCACGATTAATAAGTGACTTACGTGTAAATAACTGGATCTTTACTTTATGAAGCAAAGTCCTCTATTCGGACAAACTGAATACAGTCTTCCTCTTATATAATCATCCTTTTAATTGCATGCTAAGGCTGTGATTGTGATAGTAAAGAAAAGTTTCCCTCTATATAATCACACATATATATATTGTAATTATAAATAATGAAATATTTCTTGCATTTTTTATCGGTGATGTTTAAAATCCCACCCGACAATTCATATGTTCGACAAAAAAAAATTCCGAATAATCAATATACTGAACTGAATGAATATATAATCACACCTCTAAAATTATTTCCCAAATACATATGAATAATTATAAAAAGATTTGATTATATCTTATCTTAATTTTTGATTCTAATTAAATTCAGATAATAATAAATGTTATCAAAAAATATTAATCACGTGTAATATTGTAATGATTGTAAAATTATGAAATTCTGCCTTAGATTATGAAAAATTTGTATTATCATAGTGCCGGCCCGAATTATAATAAACCCAATAAAATCGCTGCCATTATATCCACGTTATAAAATATTCACGTTTAAACATATAGAAAATGACCATGCTTAAATGCTTCTAACTTTTTATACAGGCAATATTTTAAAAATCTGACTTGCTTTTTTAGGCAGTTGAAAGATTTCGAGTTATGAGTTCCCGCACCGTATTTATTTTTTTTAATAACGAAAACCGGAATTTATAATCCCGGTCATCCCTTCTCATTTTCAAGTAGTGATTGAAATTGATGAGAAATTCCAAATTTATAAAATTTATTGATAATCACCAAAACGGGAAGTGGTGATCAAAAAAAATTATTAAATGCAAGCTTTCTCTCAACTTCTTTCGCCCACTCGAACGCTCTGTTTAACTTCAAAGTCGCGTTTGCCGTTGTTATTCTCTTACTGGTTAACAGGAACTTGTTCAATTCACTCAGATTTTGACAATTATTTGTCTTTACGTTTTTTTTCCAATAGATCAAACAGAATTTCAAATAATTCATTTCAAACATTGGACAAGACGAATAATAATAATAGTTCTAGTTTATTAACGGCACAGATCCGTATTCAACAAATTCATAGAAATCTAGCGACAATGCCGCCTCTTGCTAAAAGTAATAAATATGATCTCTTAGTTATTGGTGGTGGAAGTGGCGGACTTGCCGCTGCGAGACGTGCGGGGTCTTATGGTGCTCGTGTCGCTATAATAGAAGCAAGTGGAAAACTTGGCGGAACTTGTGTCAATGTTGGATGTGTACCAAAAAAGGTCATGTTTAATACTGGTGGGTATTTGAAAAAAAAAATTACTTTTAATTTGCTTTGAGAATGTACCTGTTCTTAACAAAATCATCTAAGCACAATTCTATTTATTTTTTTTTAGCATCAATCGCGGAAGCTCTGCATGATGCACAACAATATGGATTCGATCTTGGCAATGATGTGAAACCGAAGTTCGATTGGAATTCCTTGAAAGGAAAACGAGATGCTTATATAAAACGTCTTAATGGTATTTATGAAAACAACCTTGCAAAGGACAGTGTCGAATATATTAAAGGAAGAGGTAGTTTCGCGGGTAAAAATAAATTGCGAGTTGAATATGATGGTCAAATAGAGGAAATTGAAGCGGAAAAAATTCTAATTGCTACGGGTAAGTTGTAATTATATATACCTTTCGCCATAATTTTGTTTTTGTTAATGATTTTATTGATTTTATGATATATTTTTCAGGTGGTCATCCACATATTCCGAATGATATTCCTGGTGCGGAATTGGGTATCGACAGTGATAAGTTTTTTGATCTTGAACAACAACCCAAAAAAGCTGCAGTGGTTGGCACAGGGTAAGTGTATGAATAAATGTTATAATAGTCTTTTTTCTATTGGTGATTGACGAACTAACTTATTTTTTAGATATATTGGAGTCGAATTGGCTGGAATCTTCAATGCATTAGGTAATTTAATATATTTAATTACGTATCTTATAGTAAGTAAGAAAATAATTCTTTTTTATTATGATTCAGGCACCGACACGACTCTTTTCACTCGTAGTGGTGAAATTCTGCGTACCTTTGATCCAATCATCAAAGATACTATACTAGAAGAAACTAAAAGAGAAGGAATTCGTTTACTTACACACGCAAAAGTACACTCACTTCGTCGTGAGTCACCGAGTAACCCGCTAGTTGTAGAATTCTCCTCTTCTGAAACTGGTGAAAAGACTACCGAGGAATTTGACATATTGTTATGGGCGATTGGACGTGATCCAAATACCAAAGATTTGAACTTGGAAGTGACCGATGTGAAGACTAATCCTAAAGGCTATATTGTGGTGGATGAGTATCAGAAGACTGATGCTGACAATATTTACGCATTGGGTGATGTGTGCGGTGTTGCACAATTAACACCTGGTAAATATCTGTAATTTACATATTTATTTCTATATTGTTCTAATGTTTTTTTATCGTTATCCTTTATAGTCGCTATAGCAGCAGGTCGTCGTTTTTCTGACCGTCACTATGGTCCTCCACAGTTCAAAAATTCTAAACTCGATTATTCAAATATTCCAACAGTTGTATTTCATGTAAGTTAAAAGATTTTTTCAAATTTATAATATATAAATTATAAATGATTACGCTATATATAGGGTACATGTGGAACAGTCGGTCTAACTGAACCTGAAGCAAAAGCTAAATACGGTGAAGATAATGTGCGCACGTATACCTCAAAATTTGTCAATATGTATCACGCAATGACTCCTCACAGTGCGTAATCTAATTTTCATCTTCCCATCTTACTTGAAGAAAGATAAAGAATTGATTGATTTTCATATTATTCTATAGAACCTGCAACCGCATATAAACTTGTGGTCACCGGACCTGAAGAGAAAGTTGTTGGTGTACATTTGATTGGTCGTGATTCAGCTGAAATTGTAAGTTGATATATTCGGATTTGTATTAATCAAGATATATCGTATATTGATTGTTTTGTATGATATTAAAAATTTTAGTTGCAAGGATTTTCAGTAGCAGTGAAAATGGGTGCCACCAAAGAAAATTTTGATTCTACAGTTGCAATTCATCCTACTTCGGCTGAAGAACTGGTAAGATGAACCTCAAAATCAGAATAAATTTCAATATATTAACTCTGACATAAATATATTTTTCTTATTTTCGAAAAGGTAACGATGCGATAATTTATCGGTTTTAGACGGGGATTGTTATGTTGGTTGTTTTTATTTAATTATTTATTCTTTCGTTTTTATTTATTTATTCTTGTTTTTGATGAATCCATATGTTTGAATAGCAGTAACAGTGCTAGTAGTAGTAATAGCAACAATTGACTATTGAAAGATACAAAGTGACGCAAGCATGTCAATCTTTATTAGATAACATTGAATTTTTTATTATCAGAATGTAACAAAATAAACTATTTATGTAATCAAATCAATATTTTTTATTTCGAATTTTTGGCACTAAAAGCTCCACATTTTGCACTTCATTCAATGCCTCCAATTCACTTTTAACCATTTCTATTCTTTGTTGAGTTTCTCCTTTCTCCTCGTCTTCTTTTAATATCCTCACCTCAACCACGTTCGTCAATTCCCCAATCCTTCCTAAATATTCCATGCCCTTGATATGAGATATCTTATTAATAAGCTCATCATTGTTATCATTGGTAGAATTGAGAGTTATCGCAAAGTTAAAGTATTTATTGTAGTCACGAATTCGAGGCAAAGACATTGTCATTTAGAAATTTGGCTTTTTGTGCATAAATGTTGTGCCTAAATTAGAATAGAGATTCTACAAAAGTTAGAGTTATTGCAGAGATAGATTAATGTTGGCCGAAGGGAATCACGTGAAGCCACATCTGGCGCAGTTTGTATAACGAAAAAATTCATTTGATATAAAGTAACTTCAGTTTATTCTACTAAAAAATTTTTATTTACTTATATTATTATTATTTCACAAAATAAACCTGTAATTTCAAAAAATTTCAAAAAAGAAATTTATATAGAAAAGAGTTATACATTATTAAGAAATTCAAAATTATAGCATAAAACTCAAATAAAAATCCAGTTATTTACTAAAAGTCAATTTCAAGACTATATATAAACTTATAACCAGTGATCTTATAATCTACAACAATTCATAATCTATTATTTTAATAAATTCAGAAATTATTTTTCTTGAGAAGTTTATTAAAAAAAATAATTACAATAAGTTATTTAAACTTTACTTAATTAAAAAGTACTTATATTAGATATTATAAAAATATACATTTTTTCTTAATTATAATATATTTTTTAATAAGAATCTAAGAATATTAAATCAAATTATATAATTGTATTACTAATTTAAATAAATTTTTATTATTTTAGATTAATTTAGTTATTAAATTATTTTTAAAATATTTATTAAATATATAAATTTATTAAAATCAGAAATTTTTAAATTTATTAAAAAAATTTTATTTTAATATAAAAATAATTTATATTATAAGTATACTTTTTTAGTAAATTTTTATTTAATAAATAACTTTATAATTATTATTATCTTCTTTGATTTAAAATAAATTATATATCTTAATAATATATATAACAAATTTAGAAATTAATAATTTTACAAATTGCTAACTTGCAATACTATATTACATATTATATTATATATCAAGAATTAAGTTATTAAATCTCTTAATAATTAATATGAGTGGTACCTATTTGAGTATGATATGTTTGAGCATGTTGATATGATATGATTGAATATGTTAAATATCATCAACATGCTCAAATATACTATACCTATTCAAATGTTATATATATATTATGCTAATCAATTTAATATGATATGACTCAAACAAATCATACCATATTAAAATGTGTCTTATTTCTATCATTCACTAAAATTTTTTAACTAGGTAAAAAATTTCAATTCCATCCTTTGCACTTTCTAATTGCAATCTCATACATTATAAGTACAATTATTTTTAAACAGCTTATAAAACTTATCACTTGTTTTTTTTATTAAAAAAATTAATTTTTTTATAAAAGTGAAATATAGAGAGTGTGATAGTGATAATTATAAAAAAGAAAACAATAGAAAGTATAAAGATAATGGAAGAGATAGTGATAAGAGATGTAGTAAAAAAATAAAGAATAATAAAGTGATAATTATATTAATATTATTACTAAATATTATTTTTTGTGTGCTATTTGTGATCAATGAATATATAGGATACAAAGATAGTGAAAGCAATAGGAGATATGAAGATAACATAATTAATATTACAATTTTATTAAATATTAGTATCTTATTTTTATTATTATAAATATTTGACTAATGTAAAGAATCTCCAGTCTCATTCTCATTATAATCTTTCAAAATCTTCAAGATAAGTATATTCTTATAATTTTTGAAATTCTTTTCTAATCTATCAATAATTTTTTCAATTCTTAACTCTCTAGAATGCTCAATATTACTTAATTCAAGTTTGTAAATTTTCATAACTTTCTTTCTAATCACAATTTTTATATATTTCAGAAGCAATTTTTTTTAAGTTTTACTAGTTCCATATCTTCATTATTATTATCTTGTATAGTTAGAGTAGTTCATGATTTTTTTGTCTTTTAAAACTAGTTAGAACTTGTCATTTTGATATTGTGAGGATATCAGATATTATAGAAATAATAACTAATTCTTTAGCTTATTCTATTTACTGAAAAAAATAAATTTGAATTTGATTAATTATGTTAATTGAAGAAGAGTATGATAGAATATGTGTGATAGTAACAATTATAGAAAGTAAGTATCATGAAAGTGATAAGAAGTATAGAGAGAATGATAGCAGTAATTATAAATATAAGTGTATAGAGAGTTATCTGATATAAAGAAAATAGTAATGGTAATTGTAGAGAGAAGTATGTAAGATATAATAATAATAATTATAGGAGAAGGAGATATGATGACAGAGAAATAAGAATAGCATAATATTGGAATAGTAATAATAAATATATAAATATATAAAAAATATACTACTTTTATATATGTATAAGTAACACAATTAATTTTACTTTTTCTTTATATATTATTTGATATACCAAAAAGATCTTGTATTATTATAGCTGCAAAATAATAATTATCTAAATACTAATCTCTCTAAATAATAATTCAATTATGGAATTATTAGTACAAAGTAAAAAAATATTAAAACAAGATGAATATATATCTAAAAATTATTATTAGAAATTTTAAATATTTCTTTTCTTGATTAGTATCAGAATGATAAGCTTTGATAATATTTGATGTATTCTCTGAAAAAATCTAATAAATTTTGGAAATATATAAATAAGCATAATTTAAGAAAGTCTTTATCTATCAGTTAAAATAAAAGTCAACTTATCCTATATAAATAAAAGTAATTAGTAGTAATAAGAATATAATATAATAAGAATTTAGTTTATCTTGCAGATTTATATCTCTAATTTTCAATATATGATTAAGTATCATATTAACTTCTTCTTCTATAAGTGCTAATAATAAATTATTTATCAATTTTTTGAGATCTTTTAAATAATGATGCTATTGAATATTACTAGAAATAATATAATAAGTCATTAGACTGATGAAAATTAGTAATATAATCAGATATCAATAAATATAATTAGCTAATTACTTATACTCAGTAATAAACTTGACAAGACTTGAAAATATAAACTAAATGATCTTTTCATATCTTGCTATTATCAAGTTCATGCAATATCATTCCTAATTCTTGAGCTTGTGTCAAATCTAGATTACCTATTATACATATCCAGTCATCTCTATGAATATACTGAATTTTTACTTGCAATCCAGTATAGTCTTCAATTATTTCAATAATAGTCTTAAAAATTTGCTAATATATTTCTGAAGTAAAGATATTAGTAAATATGTGATAATATATTAATGCTATATTAATATTAGAGATAGTAATTAGAATAACTTTATTAATATTCATAAATATATTTGTATATATATATTAATATGATATTTCTCATCATATTAATTTATTTTAAACTTATTTATATCTCCTTGAACATACTTAAATATAAGATCTACTTGAAAATAAGTCATGTTTAACAATCTCTTTGCTTGTTTTTTTGTCATATAAATAATGAGTACATAATTATCTCTAAACATACTTATTTATACTAAAATATATTGTAAGCTTAAGATTAAATTGAAAGGATGAGCATAACAAAACTTATTTATTTTTCTAATATATCTATTTATATTATCTGTATTAACTGTGAATACATGTGCTAGTCCTATTATACTCTATTTATAAGAATATATTTTTTTATATATTTTTGATATCAGATAATATAATTAATCTATATTATTGAGTAATACGTGAATTTTACTTAATAGATTAATTCTAAAAAATTCTTTAATTAAGTTTTCTAATAAAGTAAACTATGTGAATTAAATAATAATTTTTTTATTAATTTAATATAATAAAGTAAGCTATATGAATCAAGTGATGATTTATTTTATTAATTTATCAAAAAGTAATTTTTACAGAGTAATATTAGTTATATCTTCATATTATAATCAATCACTTACTTATGTGATGTAGTAGATGTAATGTAGTATATAGCACAGTTACAGTATGTGACATAGTAATTATTAATTACTACTAAATTGGGTGAATAAGTAATTTTATTAATTAATCTTATTTATAATTAATTCTATTTTTAATCTATATT